AACTCTAGTCTTAGCTTGACTAACCTTCTGTCCAGAGGCTGTGCAAAACCTATCCAAGCATTGTTGAATAACTTCTACTTGGTCAAGAGCTGCTTCAGCGAATAATATGAGATCATCCGCAAAGAACAAATGAGATATTGGAGGTCCATCTCTTTTCAGTCTAATTGGTCGCCACTTCCCCTTGCCAATAGCTTCCTGTATTAGGTGAGCTAGTTTCTCAATGCATATTACAAACAAATATGGGGAAATGGGATCTCCTTGACGAATACCTCTGGATGGTTTGAATTGATCGGTTGTACTTCCTTCCCAAAGGACTTCCATGAGAGGAGACGAGATACAGCGTTTAACGACATTCAAGAGAAATTCAGGTAATTTAAGTTCTGCAAGGCACTGTTCTACAAAGGACCAGCGAAGTCGGTCATAAGCCTTTTCAAGATCAATTTTAATAGCCATGAACCCCTTCTTGCCCTTCATATTACGCATCGAATGGATGACCTCTTGAGCTATGATGATGTTATCTGACCCCAGTCGACCTGGAACAAAACCGCATTGGTTGGGAGAGATCACGCTAGGCAGGACCTTCTTAATTCGGTTCGCAATCACCTTGGTTATTGTTTTATAAATAACATTACAGAGGCTAATGGGGCGAAAATCTCTGATTGTTTCGGGATGATCCTTCTTCGGTATGAGTACAATCAGCGTCCCATTAACTTCATCAATAGCCTGCGGGTTTCTAAAAGCTGCTTGCACAAAACTTGTGACTGATCCCCCGACTGTGCTCCACTGGTGCTGAAAAAATAAAGCATTAAGACCATCAGGCCCAGGAGATTTTAAAGCTCCCATACTAAATAATCCTTCTTTTATCTCCTCATTGGTAACACTGCTGTTAAGTTCGGCCATGGACACTTCTTCAATTGTTGGATAGGTGAAAGAGCAAGGAATTATCGGGCTCCCACCTTCCCCTTCATAGAACAGCATTTTGTAGAAGCTCAAAGCCTCTTCTTTAATTAAGTGACTTTCGTAGCACCAAGTTCCATCATCCCTTCTCAGCGCTTCTATTTTATTCCTCTTCCTCCTAGCATTCGCCTTGGCATGAAAGTATCGGGTATTACGGTCTCCTAGAACAAACCACTCACTCTTCGCTTTCTGGGCCCATAGCAAATCTTCCTGTGTTAACACATCCTCAAGCTCCCTCCATAAATTAGCAATAAGAAAGTCCAAGGAACACACGTTGATGTTAGAGCATTGAGACCTTCAATTCGGTTCAGGAGGTGCCTTCTTTTTCGTCCTAAATGGCCGAAGACCTCATGGCTCCATCGCCGAAGATCAGAGGTAAATTGAGATATATTCTGGGTCCAACTATCCTCGTGCCTCCACTTTTCTTTAACGAAAGTAGAAAAGTGTTCATGCAAAACCCACGAAGCAACAAAACGGAAGGGTACACCCCTATTACGGTCACACCTGATCTCTTCATCTATTCGAAACAAGATTGGCCTGTGGTCTGACTTAAAGAAAGGCAAGGACGTGACAGAAGCATTAGGAAACTCATGCATGAATCTCAAATTAACCAGCACCCGATCAAGCCGACTTTCACACGTAGCTCGCCGCCATGTAAACTTCGGTCCTTTGCACCCCAAATCCTCCATCTCCTGCTCAGATACCCATTTACTCATATCCCTATCGATGCCGCTACCAATTCCTATTGAAGAGCGTCTTTCATGCCAAGCTAGAATGCCGTTGAAATCACCTCCCACTACCCAGGGTCCGTCCACCATGGATCTAACACCTGAAAGAGCACTCCAAAGTTGCCTACGCTTTAGTGGGTTAGGGGAAGCATACACGGCAGTTACAAAAACACGAGAAGATCCACAAGTTGCTAACAGGTGTACAAATTGCTCATGGGCAACTAAAACCTCAAGCACCCAACGGTCATTGTTCCAAAGAACCCAAAGCCCTCCACTGTAGCCCTGCGCATCAACTACTTCAGAACAAGCAAAACCCATCTTCCTTGCAATGTCTCGGGCACGGACTCCACAAGCTCGGGTCTCCAGAATAGCCACAAAGTCTAACTCGTGCTTCTTGACTAGATCACGAACAAGTCCAGGGAAGGCCTTCGACCCTGTGCCTCTACTATTCCAGAAGATACCATTCATGGAGACGTAATGGAAGGTGGTTGCACCGCAAGGTGCTCGTTACTATTTAAGTCAACCGAAAGCAACTCATTTTCAGAAGTTAACATTCTGTCCTCGTTTGTCAAAGGATCACCGTGGGACAAATTCAAGGTAGTAGTACCAACCCCGCTGATAGGTGTAGAAGTCTTTTGTGGTATCATCTGCGTGTCCGTTTGGGGTTCGGAAGGTACCTCACTAGAGTTATTCTGGTCAAGAGCCGCAAATGGATTTTTGAGAGTAAGTATGGGTCTTTTTTGCAGCAGGCTTATTTGATTAATTGGTCCCTTACTCAATCCAGCCCTATTCTCTTTTCCTCTCGGCCCTTTCTGTTTAGATCCGATAGGAATCCAGGCCCTATTATGATTAATACCCTTTCCAAACCTCCGTGGGCCCTCCTTGTGTGACTCTTCCTCCCTACCTTGCGAGAAACGTGATTTTCCTACCGAGTCCTGGGAGAACTCCACGTGGTATTCAGTTGTTCTATTATGCTCCCCACGTGCGTAATAACTGGTGCTAGGATCTCGGGTAAATCTGCTTTTTTCCTTCAGTTGCCTTTCCGAATCTTTCTTTAATTCAAGCGAGATCTTATCCGCATTATCTCCTGATCGTGCTCGTTGTCTATTAACCGCTAAGCCTGATTTATTTCCTTGATTTTCGGAGGAGAAGATCTTCCCCCAAGACTGTCGTTTGAAGAGATTTTCCGGGCCAAATTTTCCGCCCATTCCTATTTTATTACCACTACGCCCTTGTGTCTGTGCCGGTGCCGGTGCTGGTGTTGTCACCGGAGGTTCCCTGGAACGCTTGGAAGTCTTCCAGCCTGATTCTTCCCCTTGTAACTCCTCATTACCTTCTTCCATCATCCTTTCCTCCTTATTAACTACCTCTCCCGTCTTATCCCCATCATCTGTTGTTCTCGGATCACTTGGCCTCTTCTCATCGCTATGCTGCTTCATTGTTTCCTGTTGCACGATTATAGTTTCTGGACATTCCTCTCTGTGATGTCCATAGATCCCGCAATTAAAGCAAACAAGGTGTAGTCCTTCATACTCTAGGCGAAAGGTTCTGCCAAACAACTCAAGACATGGTAGAAGTTCTAGTTGCAGGTCAATCTCAACGCACACTCTAGCGAAACGCCCTCTGGATTGCAGTGAAGTTACAAGATCTGCCTTCAAGGTCTTTCCAATCAAGTTCCCCAACCTACATAATGACTCATAGTTGTAGAATTCCACTGGTACTGATTTGATTCGAACCCAAGCTGCTATTTTTTTCTGGGTCTCGTTGTGCCAAGGGTCAAAGTTTGGCCGCCATCTTTGCACCAATAAATAATGATCAGCCACCATCCATGGACCTTCTTGGTAAACAAAATTCAAGTCTTTATCAGTAGCAAACGAGACGATGAAAAAATCATTCTCCAGGTCCAAGAGCTTGAACGGATTATTAAACCTCCATAACGCCTCAAGTTTCTGTCTCATTTTAAACAAGGAGAGGTTAATCCCCAATGGTTTAATGATTAGTGACTTTCTCCAAGGGGCGCACCAAGCCTCATACTCCTCTTGAGTGACATGGAAAGTAGGGCTTTTATCTCTCCGGGACTCCTGTCTTTCTTCTGATATAGGTGGTGGGGAGAAATAATCTTTCAAACCCTCAATGTATTCTTTCCATGCAGCATCCATGGTGCTATTTCCTCGTGCATTGGCCTCCCTCGCCTTATCATCTAAGTTCAGTACCTTGTCCCTGTAGGAGACCGGCGCCTCTTCTTGCACTTCCATCTCCTCGCCTTCACTCTCTTTAGGACCGTCCTTCCTCCGTATCCTAACCTTCTTCCGACTACGAACCAGATCGTCCGTCTCTTCTGTCGTCACGCCCTCCTCGCTCACACCGTCATTCACCCGCTCGCCTGCCGTCGCCGAGGCTCCTGACGCTCTCACCATCGTAGTAAACCTAGAGGGAAAAAAAAGAACTCTAACTAGCTGCTACGGGTATAAAATCCAAACACTGCAAATTAAAATTAACCAAAAGTGTGCGAGGGCGGTTTTTGGTGGTAGCAAAAGGTATGCTTTTGAGAAAAAGAAGAATCGATGCTTCTTTTCCTGTTCGCACTCTAAAATATCCTTACTAATCAAGTGTATTGGTTAGAATTACTATTGTTAGAAAGATTACCTTGAGAAAAATACATAAATATAAGAGATAAAATGAATTAAAATCTTATATTTAAAATTAAAATAAAAATCAAATAAAATATTATATTAAGTACCGGACGGAGGTAGTATTTATTTGTAACTTAATCATGTGTCGAAATCTAATCCACCCAATAATTTTCTAGCATGCGTCTATAACAAACGAAGCAACCCAACCAGAAGTCTTCCGGGCTACCAAGACTTCCTGTTTCTGGAATAATCATTCGCTCATGGATCCAAAATGACGTGCTAACAAATCAAATCGTATGATCAGGAGATACGGATTCTATTCTTCTACTGTTCTGGCATCTTTTTGCCTGCTTAAAGAATTATAGAAAGTGAGTAGTTTCATTGAAGTTTAATCACAGGCAAATTACTTATTCCCCTGCTTCGCATCACACGCAACCAGAAAAGAACTTGTCACTTTTACGGCTGCGAACTGGAATATATGAGGGAGGCAGAGGCAGCATCACTTTCTAATTGAAACTAAAGCTTCCACGCTGCACTCTGCTGATGAATCAAGCGCACTCTTTCTCTCTCTTCCTCTCCATTTTCTAATGTTCTAGAGTCTCGTTTCTTCACTTCTTTATTTCGCTGAGTCACATTCCTTCACATACTCTGACAATTCACGAGAATCTTGAAACATTGTTCCTAGCATCGCATCCCAGCATCCTCACAGGCAGCCTGCTTTTTCATCGGGGGTTTTGGATGGCTATTTGGGCGGTAAATTTTCCCGGGAATTTGTTCAAGTGGTGAGGGGAGTTCTCAAGTCTTTAGAGTGAACTAAGTTGTTTTTTATTTTTGGATCCCATGGATCTGGGTCCGTATTTGATTCTCACGAGATTCAAGTGAAGTCAAATATTTCATTTCTTACGGTGACTGAACAACTACTACTGAATTGGTTAGAAATGGGAGAGCAGTAGGACTGAAAGGGTTGAACAAGATGAAGCGGAAGGTTTCTCAGCAGAAATCTCAACCCAAATGGAAGAGGAAGCTCTTCGTTCTGTTACTACTAGGAATTTGCTTCGTAAGCTTGTTTTTTATGCAGACGCAGTACTCTCGAATTACGGGGCTGACTTCCTTGCAACACCGATTCGTTGATAGGCCGAAGATTGCGTTTCTCTTCATAGCACGGAACCGGCTTCCTTTAGAGATGGTTTGGGATGCATTTTTTCGGGTATGTTATTCAACTAATTTGTCTTTTGTGTGTGTGATCTGTAGGGAGATAAAGCAGGGTGATTAATTAGCTATTTAGCTCTTTTTCCTTTTTTGGAATATCTAACGCTTTTAACTACTTTCGTATGTCTCAAGATTTTATGGATTCGAGTAAATCTTTAGCAAATATCAATTAATGCGCGGGCAATCGCTTTTAGACGGACAACGGTTTCAAATTTTTAACATTGCGCTAGTATCTGGGGACTTTATGCTTAAATATGTTGCGAACACACAACAGTTCTGAAGCAGTATTCTTACATAGGGCTTAAATGCAGATGTATTCATAGTGCTTTTTTCTTGCGAAGAACGTTTCACGAGCTTTCCGCATTCCATTTTGAGTGTTGGGAAAAGCACCAGTGATATTTTCTAGTTCACATACTTTTCCTTTTTTTTCTTTTCCTTGAGAGAGTTTAAAGATATGCATGTGCATCTTTCTCAAGAAACGTGGATCTACTGGAGTCCTCAAAAATAAAATCTGATAAAATAGCTCAATCTACATTGCTACATCGAATCTCTTCTCGGAACATTAACCTAAGCAAGGTCAATTGTTTATCTCAGTTGTCGTAACTACTTTTCACGGAAATGATGTGAATTGCCTCATCTTCTGGAACTAAATTCATCTGGTGCAGTTTGCACACACGCTTTGGTGGTTCTGGCTAAATTGACTGTTGCGTCTCTTTTGATCTTTCTCTTCTCCCTCCATTGCCAAATTGAAAAATATATGATCATTCACAGTTGTTCCCAATGTAAAGTTGTAGAAACTTACCGTATGTGCGTTGAAAAGTTACGAGCAATACAAATATTAGTTAATAATTTGTAATCGTATAGAATTCTTCTAGTTTACCTATTGAGGTGCCATGCTTAAAAAATTATTTGTGCTGTTTTATCAGGGAGGAGACGGCAAATTTTCGATTTTTGTCCACTCAAGGCCTGGGTTTCTACTCAACAGAGTAACAACTAAATCAGTTTATTTTTTGGATCGTCAAGTTAATGACAGTATACAGGTTTCTTTCACTGGAAGTTAACAGAATTTGTTTTTGCATACATTTTTCATGTCTTACTAGGGCTTTACGCTTTATTCACATTGATTTAGTTGCTACACATGACTTTATGTGCTCATTAATGCTTCCAGCTTCACTGCATTCGATTTTCGTACCCCTCTTCCTGGGGGAAAAAAAGTCTTACAACGTTTTCTCATTAGTTGATAGTTCACCTTTTCTTCTCTGACTGAACTTTGACTTGTTCAATTTTATCATGTTGGCCCAAATTTTTCAGAAATTAATTGTGATATAAAGCTGTAATTCCACCCTGTCATGTCTGCTGGTCTCTTGATACTCAGTGCATGTTATCTATGTCCAGGTAGATTGGGGAGAAGCAACCATGATAGAAGCAGAACGCATTTTGCTCAGAAATGCACTTACTGATCCTTTAAATGACCGTTTTGTATTTCTCTCAGATAGGTGAGGATTTACAGCTATTAACTTGAATCTTTTTGCAGATGCTTTGCCGGACTCTACTCTGATTGCTTGTTCCTTGCATATACTGTCAATTCATGATTTCCTTCTATTTGTCTTATGGTTATTTTCTGTTTATTTGATGCCAGAAATGACATTGATATCACTAGATTCTGTATGATCTGGGAACCTTACTGTATTTCAGTTGCTTAATCTCTTTTCAGCTGTATACCTTTGTACAACTTCAGCTACATATATGACTACATCATGTCGACATCAACTAGTTTTGTTGACAGGTGAGCATTGTCTTGACTTTTCCGAGCATTAGCTCTGTCATCTCTTTCCCCCTCTCTGTTTTATCACCTATTATATTGAGACCTTAAGTTGTGAGATGTGTAACCCTAGTTCTACTAAGCTATAATGGTCATATGAAAAACTATTTAAGGTCAGGTTAACTGGAAAAGGTAAATTTCTACTTAAATATTGACTTTGTTAGGTTTAGAAAGTCAGCAGCCTCATGACCAGACTGGGAAGAAAAATAGACTATATCCAATGATTGAGTATAAGTTGAATTCGTTGATGATGAATAGCCTGTGGAATGGAGGTGGCATCGAAACTCTATCTTTACTTCCCTTTTTAGATCCTCTCATACCTCCTGACTAAAATGATGCTGACAGACACATCATAGCATGCTAAAACTAGACCAATATGTGTCGCATGGCTGGGAACGCCATGGGGTTCATTATTTACCATGGAGCCTTGACATGGGGTCAATGACCTCCTTGCCTGGGATGCATAGTGTTTTAGTGAATAGTAGGAAACAAACCACTCAATTAGATACAACACATAGGACTCATCTAAAATTTCGCAGTAATGAATTTTGAAGAGCTTTAAGCCTTCAAAAAGACAAAAATAAAATAATAGGATCACTTATTATGGTATCATCAATTATCTGAATTACTTGTTATTAATCATTTATATAATTTAGTTCATTTGTTGATGATCGAATTGTTATGATTTTGGCTACCAAATGTGAGAGTAGCTTTGCTGACACGAAAGAAGGTCGTTACAATCCAAAAATGGCTTCTGTTATTCCTGTTCACAACTGGAGGAAAGGATCCCAGGTAAAGGCTCAAGTCACTCTTAAGTCCTTCTGAAACTTGAAAGCAAAATTCATGAGATATTTTATGATCCACGGCCAAAGACCATCATCTTAATCCTGTCTATTTGTCCTCCTCCAGTGGGCTGTTCTAACCAGAAAGCATGCTGAGGTTGTAGTAAATGATGAAACTGTCTTTCCTATGTTTCAGCGGTATTGCAAGGTAATTGGGGACTGCATTTATTCCAGGCCCCTATTTTTACAAGTGGGATTGCTACTCAATAAATTTTTTCTTGTCTGTATGATTCTAAATTTTCCTATTCTTTTAAATTTATAAAGGCTATGACTTATGACCTTGAAAGATATGCCAAAATTTATTCATATTGAATAGTATAGAGGGTTTTTTCTTTTTTTGTCTCTTGCTTCGGACAACCTCTTTTCTTTATAAGTTTATATCTCCGTTTCTCTGACATGTGGATTTAATTATGCAGAAAAAACCACTACCAGAATTTTGGAGGGATCATCCCATTGTGAGTGCTATCTATGCATGTAAAACTGATGAGGATTCTTTTTTTCTAACCATACTGGTTCCAATCGAGCTTTTTAACTGCACTTCATCTCCTTTTTTTGACCTTTTCACAAATAAATCATGGCGTTATTAAATAATTTTATTTCGAGCTGATGCTGTCATTTTGGTTATTGCAAATGGTAGGAAAGATGAGTACTGATTCAGTTTATTGTTTCATGCAGCCTGCTGATACATCTAAGGAGCATAACTGCATACCAGATGAACACTATGTTCAGACCTTACTGGCTGTAAGATTCCTGCTTTTCCTGTGTGTGAAAGACTAGAGGTGGTTAACCTGCTAACTGAATAGATAGTAACGAAGGGAAGTGTTGCTGGACAGTTACGCTTGAAGTTTTCATTTTTTTCTGGGAATTAATATAAGATGACAAGGCCCTTTTTTATTTCAGGATAAATCCTAATTTTTTCGGCATGCTAGAATGTAGTTTTTTTTATTCTAAGGAATAAATGGTGAATCTCATCTATGTCAAAAACTTTTACATATGGATCAGTGTATATAAATTGCAAGTAAAGAGGTAGATGCAGCGTTACTTTGGCCCTTACTTTTCCCAGCTACCTGTGATAATCCCTATACTCACAAAAAGGCTGCTTATCCAGTTACTTGGAATAGTGACTGATGATGACTAATCAAAATAGTTGCTTTTGGGTTTGTCAGAAGCAGTGGTATGTAAAAGTAATTATGTCCCAGGTCTGCATTCCTTACCTGCTGGTGGGTTTTGACTTAGTATACTGCTCAACCCATTTAGTGTTTGGTTCCCTTTTAACGTAATTTACTACGCCACAAAGTTAGGTCATGAGGACTGAAAACTAAGTCCATAATTTCTTTCCGACTCTACTCTATGTTAGCATCGTTAGACATAAACAACTTTGCTGTGAAAAATGTTTTCCATTGCTATTTGATATTTCGATTATGAAGAGAAGTTAAACAAAAGTTGCCCCAAGGCATCATGTTAAAATAGACAGCAGCAGAAACTTTATGCAATGAATTTGTACCAACTATTGTGATGGTGTTGATCCTGATAAATTTCAATTATCAGTTTTGCTCAACATTTTTGGTGCTTGCCTTCTGAAATCTAGTTAAAAGGCCTTGAAGGAGAAATCACACGGAGATCAGTGACGCATACCTCCTGGGATCTCTCCTCCTCCAAAGATCGTGAACGTCGAGGATGGCATCCTGTGACATACAAGCTCTCAGATGCTACTCCAATGCTTATAAAGTTTATAAAGGTGCGACCTTTGCTGCTACTGCTAACATTATTTCTGTTGAAGCAACTGTGCTCCCATAATTAAGCCACTCCTCTTGCCCTCCTCTCAGAGATGCATATAGATGTAGGAATATATATGTAGTAGTTAGTGACTTTAAACTTGTGCTCTTCATCTTTTATAGTGGTTTTTGTTAAAAAGAAATTGAATTGGGGTGAAACACATGAAGATAGCGCTCAACCCTCAGGAGTCTAAAAATGAAGTCGCAGAACTTGGTGAATCACCTGGTACATCTCAACATGTACATGACCTTCAGAAAGAATAAGTGAAATTATGATTTATACGAATTAGCATAACTTACAGAACATTCCCCCATATCTGATCATTGCCCTGATAAAGATGAAACTCTCTTAATTTATGATGAGTATTTACCAACTAATGAACCCAGCATCTCGAGTAATCAGTATAGCATGCGTAAGCCATAATAAGTTCATATATGCAAGTGATAAAGATGTGATAAAGCTCACACGACTGATTGATCTGGCAATCTTCATAAGCATACATAGCACATTAATTCTACGCTGGTTGAATCACATATTTAAAAACTTGACAACGTTTCAGGAAATAGATAATATTTATTACGAGACTGAATACCGGAGAGAATGGTGCAGCAGCAAGGGTAAACCATCCACATGCTTCCTTTTTGCGAGAAAATTTACTCGACCTGCAGCTCGACGGCTTCTTAACATGGTGAGTTTGTTTATCATGGTAAAAGTGATACAACAAGCTTCGGCTCGTTTACACTAGAACCGTCCTACTCCAAAGTTGAGAGTTCCGAGTTTGAACCCCAGTTGAAGCCAAGATAAACTCCAAATTCATAAAAAAGGATACAATGGGCTTTCAGATATAGACTTAATATAGTTTGCGGAGTAGCTGGACTTGGCTGACTTTTATTGTTTTTATCATTAAGTATTAACAAGTGCAACTTGCTCATTGTTTCCTGCTGCTTTGTTCGCAGTCTGTACTTGGAGTTAGCGGTTAAATGACAGCAAAATGCTCGTGATAATGCCCATTGAGAGGCTGAATATACAAGCTCAGAAAAAGGAAATTTAATATTAAGACTAGATGAATATTATTGACGAGTATGTTGGTTTGTACATTGAGATTTAGATTTAGAAAGCTATAAAAGAGTTCATGCGGTGTATATGTGTACAATATTTCGATACCAAACTCACAGAGAGAATGAAATAAAATTGGAGGTGTTCGTTCCTCAGCTTTAGTCTGAGGTGAGTTTTAGACTAAATTTGTAGTGGAACAAAAGCTCGAGTCTGATTCCAGTTCAACATATTATGTACACAGAGTCATCAGCATTCAATACATGATATAAAATTTATAGAAAATCGTATGATTCTTACTTGTGTTATTTCTCTCAGGGATCCAAGCAATTTTTTCCCCAAATTTTTACCCATTAATTTCAACAGGATTTGAATGTTAAACAAGTGTAAGTATAAATTTTAATAATCGTTCTATTGCAGAATACTGTCATGATTTTTCGTCTCTCACTCTTTTCTATTTTTATTATCTTCGGTCTTAATTATAAAATTTTATTTGTAGTCTATAATTAAAGTCTTATAATTAGGAATGGAGTTCGTATTTAACAATCTTTCTGGAGGAAAGAATAGTAAAGGAAATCTGCTGCCTGTCAGTTATTACTTTGTCGCCACATCTAACTTCTTCTTCTTCTTCTTTTTTTTTGGCTTGATCGTCACATCTAAGGTAGTAACATATAACATTAACAAATCTTTATCCATTGACCATTGTGGCCCTGAGAAAAAAAAAAAAAGTCGTCAGCAACCATGTTTGCTCATTTTCTATTTTGTACAAGTTTCAAATGCATTTAAACAATTCCAAACCATGCCCAGCCGACACAGCTTCTTCCACGAATGAAATAAGAGGATATTTGAGTCAAATGTAAAGGAAGGAGAATTTGAAGACCCTATCCCAGTGATACAAGTGTGGCGTAGTATTGGTCCACCCCGCAAGTAGTGGAAGCTTCCAAGCAAGGGTTAATTAAAAATTAACAACGGTGTTTACGCGTTAACGCCCCTTGATCTCAGGCAAGGATACTACTACTATAATATTGCTAACACCAACACTGCCCTTCGGTTGACAGTTGCACCCATCCATCTATCGCCCCTTATCCGCTCCGCGCTTTACCCACCTAGGCACCGACCATTTCCTTTATTATTTTTTAATTTTATTAGTTATGAGTGTTAATTAATAATATCTCCCCCATCTTTACTTCTTTTCCCTTCTCTCTCGCTTTGCCTTGCCACGTGCTCCCCCCTCGTTTCTTCTTTGACTTTGACTCTTCCTAACTGTTTCCAACTAACTTACTGCTCCTAACCGTTCTCAGTTCCCCGAATCCCACTCACCTTTCTGGGCTCTTTAGCTGCTGCTCATGCTATCATCCTAATGAAGATAAAAATATATTAACTCTATTTCTAATTATAAAATCTTATTTATAGATTATAAATAACGTTTTATAGGACCGGTGGTAGTATGTATGTATTTCACTCATTAATTAAAAATTAAAGCCCTTCAAATTTTGGTTATATACCACGAGCTTTCACTACAGATAAGCCTCTGAAATAAAAAATATAGATCAGCCGAAGGGTGAAAAATTAAGACCAGCAGGTTTCTTATAAATCTGCGATAAATCACTTAATTAATGTTTGTCCTGAATAGGTCGGCCCCTACACATTTGAAAATTAGACAGACAGATTGTTTACCTTCTCTCTCTCTTCTATCTATCTATCTATATATATATATATATAATAAGTGGAAGTGGAATGCATGTGTACTAGTGCGTGATCAAACATGCAAGGTGATAAAATATTACTTCTGATCTTGAATATAAAAGTTAGTTTATTAAGTTGAATAGATTAAAAAAATAAGTTAAATTAGTTATTTGTAATAAATAGGTATTATTTTTTATAATATATACTTGTTAGTCAAATTGATTGGCCGAACTAACTTTATTAGAAGAATTATCTTTAAAAAAATTAAATATAAAAAACGAAATAGATCTAAATTTTATATTTAGAATTAAAATAAAAATCAGACAATGTCTAATATTAAAAAAACAGTGCTAGTAATATACATCTTGTTTGCTTCTGCCAGGAATATAAAGTGTCAGTTCACAATGCTAGTAGCCGTGATCTTCAAACATCATATTGCCATGTAATAAGTTTCCATGTTCAGATGAGCGGGCACATATATTATTTATATATATTAGTTCAAACAACATTTGAGAGTGCTGGTGAAAAAAAAGAAAAACAAACATCTGGAGACTCAAGCTCACCCAGCACGAGTCAAGATATTGATTTTACTTGTGCTAATTTTCATTTCGTACTTTTTCATTATGGCCATATTTTATCAAAACAGAATAATACTACCTCTGATACTTAATACAAGAACTAATTGATTAATTTGAGTAGATACAAAATTAATTAATTAAAATAAATAATATTTTTTAAAAACATTCTTATGTATTGGTTAAAATTATCATTATTATAAGGATTATTTTAGGACAAATAGATAAACATAAGAAATAAAATAAATTATAATCTTATATTTAAAATTAACATAAAAATCAAACAAATTGTTATATTAAATACTGAAGGTAGTGCTTAATATATATTTCGGTGATCACATAAATTCGTTGGCAAAAAAAGAAAGATCATAGAAACTGGGGGGTCTGGGCGCAGTATAGTGAAAAAAAAAATCGTAATCTTCGATAAAACCTCAGTAATCATGTTTGGCCCCTCCACGTTCATTGCTTCGGTACACGTATTATACTAATATGTCTCCACGTGTCAGGGACCTCGGGTACAACAGTGACAACGCCGGATATGAAGGGTCGGTGAACAGTGGGCCACAGCATCACCCGTAGTAGTTGTCGGTGCATTCATCCCCCGAATTTAGGACGCTGAACAGCTACCAGAAAAATCTTTTATGGTGTGGGAAAAAAGAGAAAAGGAAAAAGTAGTCTAGAAAGGGCCCGCGTTGAATAGAGGCTGTTCTCAATGGGAACCGTAAAAAGAGGGCCCCACTGAGCCCACTCCTTTTTTTTAATGACCACAGAAAAATCTCAATTGGGGGCCCACAAGAGAAGCGTGTAACGGGTCGGGTTGGGAGACATAAAAATTAAGATGTACTCCGTCGCTTTTTAAGGAGCGTATTTTACAAGTAAAAGCATACAGATGACTCTAGAAATTATTTAGACGTAAATGATAAAACATTGCAATTACTAGCCCCTTAAAGATTTAAAATTGAGTTTTGTGAGTGAAAAAAAAAAAATAAAAATTCGAAGAGTACCTTTCGTCTCAGCTCTCAAGCCTGATTCCACCAACAAATAAAAGGAAAACTTCTCAATTAGTAGTAATCAATTCATTTATATGAAACAGGATCTCCCTAATTTGATTTTATTCGATCTGGTCACTTTTATCGATATAGTCACTTTATTTTTTTCTGTTTATTACGATGCGAAAACAATCTCACGGTGAATCTAATTATTTCTGAACAAAGCCAATCAATCTAATTCAATTTTGATTGGTTTAAATATAATTGGAGAATCTTTAAATTATGCCTTCTTAGTGCGCATCGGTTTGAAAAATAAACGGGTCTTTAAATTACCAGCACATCATATGCTGCGTCCTGAAGGATATGGAGAGAAATGTATGGTCATCTATATTTTCTCATGTCACTTTCTCATTAGTTATGAAATTATCAGGTGGAGCAGTGATAAAATGGTGAGATGGATGCTTATTGATATTGATTTATATGACATAATAAGGGTAGTTTAGGATTCAAGTTTTAAGGGAGAATTGTTATGAAGGCTTAAATAAAAAATATAATTACTAAAAAGTCTCAAATAAGTAGTAATAATAAATTTTAGAGTAAAATTTATTGATTTTTTTTTTTAAGGGACCCGTTATGATCATCCCTTAGCCCCCCGCGTCAAGGTTGTTTACTGCGTGCCAATTACCAAACACACCCGGTTTACCGACGACTTATTCTGACGGGCCCACTTCGAAAGACTTCAATATAATATCACCTTGCCTTCCCCGACCGGATAATAGAGATATTGACATTTTTCAAGGAATTTCACATTTTCATAGCAAAGTAAGAAGAGACCAGACATGATTTTTTTATAATAAAAAGTAATATAAAATAGGAAACGACATTTTCAAACCACACTCCTTCGCCTCGGCTTCCCAGTGGTAACTGTGTGGCCTCCCTCTATAAATACTACCCCACTCAACCTCTTGAAGCAGCATCACAAAACAGGCAACTTTTGATTCACTTCACCATCCAACAATCACTCTCATACCAATCTTCTCAAAATCTCTGATTTGTATATATAATCACTCATCTTCTCTGATTCTCTCCTCCAAAAACATCCCACTAATTGATTTCAGCTTTCAGTCTCTACTCAATCCTTCTGTCTTCTTTCTTCATCTGTATATTTAACTAAACCCTCCAAAATAACCAAACCCTGCGTTGTTCATTCTATATATCTCAGAAGTCCTCTGTTTTCTGACATCGTTACAGTACTATAATGGCTCCTCCAAGTTTGAGCAAATCCTCCTCCAATTTTACCAAGTACGTTGATGGCTTCAACCCTTCACCGTTTCGCATACACGGGTCAAACCTACTGGTCAAAGACCACGTTGTTCTCTCCGACGTGCCTGAAAACATCACGGCCATTCCCTGTTCCTACACATCCACCACCCCATCCCTCTCCACCTCCGGCTGCTTCATCGGCTTCGACGCTGCTAACGCGAGCAGCCGCCATGTGGTCCCCATAGGAAAACTCAAGAACATAAGGTTCATGAGTATTTTCAGGTTCAAAGTCTGGTGGACCACCCACTGGATCGGCTCCAACGGGCGAGACCTTGAGACCGAGACCCAGATGATCATGCTCGACAAGTCGGACTCGGGTCGGCCATACGTCCTCATACTCCCCATCATAGAGGGTCCGTTCCGGGCTTCAATCCAACCGGGTGAAGACGACAACATCGACGTCTGCGTCGAGAGCGGGTCCTCTCAAGTATCCGGTGACTCATACCGCAGCGTCGTTTACCTACATGCCGGCGAAGACCCGTTCAGTTTAATGAAGGAGGCGATGAAGGTCGTGAGAGCCCATCTCGGCACGTTCAATCTCCTGGAGGAAAAAAACCCTCCTGGCATCGTCGACAAGTTTGGGTGGTGCACATGGGACGCATTCTACCTTACGGT